CAAGGCTCTATCTAGCAGTACTGGAGTTGGTGACATGCCAGGAATGGAACTCAGGGCCTCTGAATGCTAGTCATGTGCTCCAGCCCTTTGGCACCCCCCAGCCCCTTGTTACTCGTGAATATTGCTTTTATTTACATACAGCTAATACTAGCCTCTTTTTTTAAAAAAATCTTTAGACTCTGGTTTGAACAACTACAAGTCTAACAAGGTGAAAATGAATAAAATTGTAGTCAAAGATTCAGCTTTTGATGGATTCCAAAAGGGGTTCAATCCTTGTGAAGTGGGGAATATTTTCTTAAAGTTAGTGGAGTTCTCTAAAATTACCTCATCTCCCTATAGCCTCTGCTGACTTCTGCTGATTCCCCGTGTCTTTATATTTGTTTATTCCAACACAAATATTTTCTAATTAAAAGTCTCTTTTCTTACAGGAATTGTTAAGCTCTTTACAGATAGACTAAGGTAAAGGTAAAGGCCCTCCCATTGTTCATCGATTTGCTCGAGCAGACCCAGTAACGTCTCCATTGGAGATTTTGTTGTTACTGTGTTTGGCATATCGATACATCACGGGTGGCTTGCCAGGCTCTGCCGTGTGGGTGAGATACTCTCGGTAGCTTGCCAGGCTCTCCGAGAGGGGCGGAGGAATCGAACTCGGGTCAGCCATGTTGGCTGCATGCAAGGCAAATGCCCTACCGCTGTGCTATCGCTCCAGCCCATTCTTAGTTGGCCCGTTCTTAGTTGGTGGAGCGATTTGTCTGGTTAATTCCAATAACGAACGAGACTCTGGCATGCTAACTAGTTACGCGACCTCCGAGCGATCGGCGTCCCCCAACTTCTTAGAGGGACAGATAGACTAATCTAATATTTTTTTGAAAAAAGTTCATCACAAAAAAAATTGTTTATACAATGCTCTGTGGCTGCTTACATTTATGAAACATGTTATGGTCTTAAATAACTGCTACCTAAAAATTTTTGTAGGGGTCCCTCCCATCAGGTGCTTGGGAGGGAGGGGCAAGAGAGCCATATCCTGTGTGACAGGGTGGAACATGTGTGCCAATGATCCTCCCATATGCAAGGATGTACTTTAGCAGTAAGCCACATACCTTGCCCCTCATATAAGTGCTTTGAAATATTTTTTAGAGATTTGGAGCCATACCCAATGGTGCTCAGGGGCTATTTCTTGCTCTATGCTTAGGACTGATGTTGAACCATGCTTGGAGACCAAATGTGGTACAAGGGATCGAATCAGGGTTAGCTATACAAGACAAGTGCCTGACCTTTATGTCCAAAAAATCAAAATGACATGTAACATACATGACATGTCAAGCCTAAGGTGAGATACACCTGGGTACAGAAACAGCTGTTTGAGGCAACTTTATTAACTTGCGAACAGGCAGTCAAGAAATATTTGTGTGTACTAAGATAATACAAATCAACAGGAAACCATCCACACCCCTGAAAGGCTAACAAAGACAAGTATACCAAGAAAATTATACTCTTGAGCATGTCAATGCTACATTAAACTGTAATACCCTAAGCTGAGTGGGGAATAATAATGCTAATGTGGAAGAGAAAAACAATGAGGGTGAAGACATAAGGCCTTGGTCGAATCCTGAACAGAATTCAAGCTAAGAAGCTGAGAGTGGATAATGCTAAGAAAGATGTTTGACTTTTAAAGAGATGAACAATGGACCTTCATTTAGGCAAGGTGAGAGTAAAGATGATGGAGGGTGGGGGTGTACATCATGCTGAAAGTGGGAGGATACCAGCTATTAATGTTTTCCAAGGGACTTGGATAGGGCTCTAAGTTTTTAATGTCTTCCTTTGCCTACAGGATGGGGCAAGGAGGACTGTCTTTTACTATAGGCAGAATAGAATGTTCCATTTGTTTTTCTAATTGTTTGATTCTGAAAGTGCTTTATATAACAGATGAATTTTTTGGTACATCATTTCCTCCTACTAAACCTACTAGCCCAATAAAGTGTAACTGGCAAGATTTGCCCAGCTCAATCAGCTATACCATCAGCTTCTTCCTCTCCTTATCACACCACTTGAGGGTGAAATAGAAGCTACATTTGCTGGAACCAAGATGCAGGTTTTGCATAGTTCTACCTCTTTTAGCAGGAGCCAGGGAATGGCCCCTTCTCCCTCCTTTTTCAGTTTTCTGCTGAGACAGTGCTTTATTTTCTAAAGTAGCTCCCATTTTCCTGGTTTCTTCATCTTCCTTTTGCTTCTACCTATTTCTCATGCTAGAGCATGTGAGTTTCACCAAGGCAGGGTCTGAATGGTTTCATTTTCCAAGTGGTCCACAAAAATGCTGACAAAATGACAGGTGTTGCCCTCCACTTGCCAGCTGAAAGATCTGTGTGCAAAAAGAGGAGGTGGCTTAGCAATTTTGCCAGCAGGACCCCCCAAAGTCTCCATTGGGGACTCGGAGCCAGCATGCTGCAAACCTAAGCCCTCCTTCAGGAGACTGTGTGGCTAGTTTGGAGCCAGACCAGCAAACAAGTGGAACAGGAGCCACTGCTAGTGTGTCTGCTGTACTTTGCCAGATTTCCTGGTCCTTCTGACATAACAGACAGCTTGTAAAGACATCACCACATGGGGACACCTATTTAACAGGTGATTGGAATGACTGAAAAGGAGCCAGGATGGTGAATTACATGTGTGAAGGGCTGAAGCGAGGTGGCATTCTACGGTCACATTTTCACTGCAGTCCCTTGGCAGGTTGGTAATAAATTTTGGATAAATTCTCACCCAGAGCTACTGAGGCTCAGCCTCCTACCGCAATTTGAGTGCATGGTTCATTTGTACTATTGTGAGAATGACCTTTAAAACTAAAACAGATTCCAGCCCAACTGAAGAATATTTCCATGTCATTAACAATATATTTTTAACCAATAACAAGTTTCTATCTTCTTTTATTTTTTGGTGGAGGAAGGTTACTTCCACAGGTGCTCAGGGAAACGTGTAATGCAAGGGATTGAACATTGGCCTCCCATATGCAGAACATACACTCCCTGGCCCCCCAATGATTGTATCTTTGCTAAGGGAGTTTTAGTTTTGTTTCTGTTCATAGGGCAAAAGAGAGTTATAAATCAGCAATAAAAATGTAATCACTGGAGAGGAAGTATTATGACCGTCAGTTAGCAGGAGTAACTGGGGTGAGAAAAAAGGTAGAAATATAAAACGTCACTGTCATGATTTGTTACCAAAGCTTCCCTGCAATTGTTTCGAATTATTATGCATGCGAGTTTCAGTAGATTTACTAGAGACCTGAAGCCCATCATCTTTCTGTGGTTCCAGTTTCTCATGCTCTAAACCCTTGCCTTGATAGATGTCAGGGGGAAAATTTTTAATGTTGCTTTTTTTTTTCTTTTCCTTTTTTATTTTGGGCCACACTGGGTGATGCTGAGAGGTTATTCCTGGTGGTATTAGGGGACTATATGGGATGTCAGGAACTGAATCAAAGTTGCGTGCAAGACAAGCACCTTACCTGCTGTACTATTGCTTCAGCCCCAGTGTTGCCTTTTCTTCACCCCAGCTCTGTTCCCTAGAGGATAGAGCAAGTCCCCTAATTTATCTAGGTGCAAACTCTCAAAGGACTCACTACTTTCTGCCAGTTGGGATTGAAATATGAGTGAGCCAGAGTGCTGAGGAAAGGCTTGTGTCTCCAAGTGGGCTCATCTGCAGTGGCATCTCCTGGGAGTTTGTTAGGAAACCAGTCCAGATTTTGCTTCAGACAAAAAGAATCATAATTTACATTAGAAAATAGGCAACACCAATACAGATGAGCAAGGGAAACAAGTAATACGATCCCTTTCCTGGTACAGCCGGAATATGCTGCTGGCTTTTACATTAGTTCTGTTACCGCTTACAGGACCTGGTATGCTTGCCTGAGAACTGGCTACCAAAGACAATTTTTAAAGATCCAGAATTATTAAAGACACACTTAAGTTAATGTGTTGGAATTCGAGCTAGCCCAGATGGAGATTGAGTTCTACACAGGTAACACGGGACTTCAGGCCAGTGATTTTAAGCACCACTGTTATAAAAGAGAGTTTCAGTCTCCCGTAAGTAGAAACTGGTGTGTCCAGTTTTTCTAACAATAGACTTGGCATTCATTGCATAGTAAATAGAAAGAATCTGAAATAAAGCAATCAGGTTTTAAGTGGAGCCCATCAGCTTCTCTTAGTAATTTTAAGCGCAATGGTGCGAAGATCTGAAGGCTAGATTTCAGAAAGCGTACCCAGGGAGCCAGGAAAGTATGATGAATGAATGCTGAGATTACCAAAGGTATTACTGGAGACAGGAAAACTTTTCTAGTTACATAGCTATGCTTGGTTTTCTAATTTTATTTATAAATAAGAGATATATACAAGTGTTTGGACTGAACATAATTATTAGGTTTCTTTTTGTGCTGAATATTTACTCTAGAGTTGTTGATGTTCGCTGTGAGGTAGCCAAGAAATAGAACAGGGGATTCATAGTCTTTCCATACCCTTTCCGGCATCTTAAACAGAGTGACTTCAATTTCCACACCAAGAATGAGCATTTGCAGGATTCTGTGCTTCAAGAACTTCTTTGCGACATCTTGGTTTCTTAAGAGTATGTATGAAAGTTAGACAGCACAACAAGATAATAATTACAATGCTGCAAGTTTCCTCATCGGTCCAGAATACTGTTTCAAGGCGTTAAATTATTTTTTTTTTCAGTTACTCTTTACTGGTTTTCAATTTGGAGTGTTAACGTATCTGGTCAAAGCGACACAAATGCCACGCTTACTATAACTTCCTGAGCTACAAGGTATAATCTGTCACCCTATAAGATTCGTATTCCATCCCAAAGAAATCCTGAAAACCGAACTCTTAGAAACCAAATCCAACCTGAACTAAAGCCAGTCCACGGAGGCTGAGTTCGGCCCCAGGAACGGTAGATGCATCGTGTCCAGAGATCTGAATCTGCCTCCTGCGCGCCCAGCCAAGTCCTTCTTGGGGTCGCATCCTTCGTTCAGACCGAGCCAGGCCCGAGCTGGCTGCGAGGCCGCGGGGCGGTGGGCGCCTATAGGTCCGAGTCGCAGGGCAGCGAGCTGAGGCAGGGCTGGGTGCTGCGCGAGGAAGGGCCGTGGGAATCGGCGCCCTTCTCCCCGGCCAGGACGTCGGCGGGGTTGGTGTAGGCCTTGGGGGGCGGCCGCGGCATGGGGAAGCCCACCTTGGGCTTGCCAGCCGCTCGCTGCTCGGCGGGCCGCGGCCGGTGCTGGCCGTCGCTGTAGTACTTGATGGCCGGCGTGAGCGCGGGCTCGGGCCAATCGACGTGCACGGTGCTGATGCTGCTGCGGCGAGGGCGCGCGGTGGGCGCCTTGCGGCAGCGGTGGCACCGCTCCTCGCACCAGGGCGCCAGGCTGAGCGCCAGCGAGAAGCCGCCCAGCAGCAGCAGGCAGCTGCCCAGGTAGCCCAGCACCAGGCTGTAGCTCACCTGCACCTTGACCGGCGGGCGCGGGGCGGGCAGCACGACGCGATCGTCCAAGAAGTGGTTGTACCAGGACACCGGGATGAGGCTGAAGAGGCCCGCGGCGAAGAGCACCAAGCCCGAGAGGCCGGCCAGCACGAAGTGGGGCTCGTCGTGCCAACAGCGCACGCCGAGAGCGGCCAGCAGCAGTCCCAGGGCCGTGACGGCCAGCGACGTGACCATGAGCCCCCGCGCCACCTGCACGGGCTCGGCCGCGAAGTAGTTCCAGGTGTCCGGCTGGCCGCACTGGCGCTCGCGGCTGCTCTGTTCGCGACAGATGTCCCACAGACCCTGGTACAGCACCACGTCCACCGGCTGGTCGAGGAAGCCCGTTACCTGCCGCCAGCCGGGCGTAAAAGTGCCGGTCAGGTTGAGCAGCAGCGCGCAGGGCGCGAGCACCATGCCCAGGGTCATCACCACCGGCGTCCGCATCGCGGCGGTGCGCACCCCGGGCCCGCTCCGCCCGGCCGATCCCCGGACTCTGCACGCGCCACTCTGGTCCTCAGGCTGCGACTGTCCGAGCCGGCTGCCCGGCCCTAGTGCTCTCCCGGCATCCCGGCCGCTCCGCCCTCCTGCCGCCGTCCCTAATCGAAACCAGCTCGCGGGTGGGTCTGACCGAAACCTCCGGCCGAGGTGCGGGGGCCCAGGGGGGCGGCCCCAGTGGTCAAACTCGTCTTCGGTGGGAGGGGCAAGCGAGAACCGGCCGGAGGCTCTGGGTACCCGGAGGACACCCCACCCCGCAACGGGGCCGCCCGGGACCGAGCAAAGGTCGCCCCGCCCCTGGCTCCGAGGGCTCGGCTGGGCCGCACCGGGCGGGGACGGAAAAAGGAGGTGCCGCCCGGACCGCGGCGGCCAGGTGGGGCTCTGAGGCTCTGCTCCTCCCGGGAATCTACGTTTTCCGCCTGTCTCAACTCACTAGCCCGTAAAAGTCGCTGGTGGCCGGCACCGCAGCTCCAGACGCGGCCCCTGAGCCCTGGCAGGGGCGCATCGAGGGTCCACCCGCGCCCGTATGATGGACCTGTTGCATTTGTTAATAAGTCATGTTTACCTGACTTAAAAAAAAGGCTTCGTACTCAGGCTTAGTTTAACTCAGACGAATCAAATCGAGAGTATTTCTTTCTGGTTGAGGGGTTACCGATGACTTTGCTTTTTCAGTCTAGTCAAAGTTTTTGGAGTGACCAAAAAAGCTTCGAAGGGGTGTCCCTGGGTGGCCTGTCCATCACAGCAGTCCTGTGTACACAGCACTGTCCTTTGAGCTGTCTTACATGACTCTAAATCGCAGAGAGCCTGCAGTACTGCAAATAGCTTTCGTTTATATAATGAAAATGAGCTTGTCGGCTGGAGCATAACTAGTTATTGCCCAATGGATACTGATTGGTGTAATCCTGGTTTGCACACTTTGTTTTGGCTCACCTGGTTATCAATACTTGCGTTTATCAAATTCTCCTTTGAACCAGTGTAACAGGCAGTCACACTGTTGTGGGTGAGATGCGCTGACATTGTGCACCCCTGTAACTTGTTTGATCCCAACAACTGAATAATTAAAAATAAATACGCTTGTCAACGATGAAGACAAAATATGCATAACAGAAAATTTATCATTCCAGCAGCTTTTAAGCTTCCAGCTCATTGGCATTAAATTGATAGGCATTGTCCCCCACCCTGCCATTCTCCAGAGTCTTTCATTTTCCTAAAGGGGAACCCTGAACTCACTTAATAGTGACACCCCAAGACCCCTCACTCCCCCATGGCCCAGAAAACCCATTTTACTTTCTCTTTATAAATTTGACTTTAGGCACTTTGTATCAAGATGATTCGTATGGTATTTGTGGCAGCTTATTTTATTTAGCACCATGTCCTCAATCCGTATTAGAATTATCTTCCTTTCTTTTAGGGGAATGATATTTATTGTAAGCAGTGTGTTGTATGTGGTAACATTTGAGGAAAGAGATGGCAAAATCTTAGAGCTCGTGTCTTGAAAACATGAGCCCTGGATTTTATCCCTCACACCACATGTCCCTTGACCCAGCATTACCATCTACAGTCCCTGGTCTCTCCCAAGTACTTCGAGATTAGCTCTGCTGTCCCCTAAGCCTGGCGGCTCTGCACTGCTGAGCCCTAGGACTTAACTATGAGGCCCACTCAGCAAGGCCTAATAGAACAGTTCCTAGCTCCAAAGTACTTCTGGGGACCTCAGTCCTGCCTCACATACATACATAAATAAATATGCATATATACATGTTTATATTTAACTTTACAAATAAGGTGTTACACACAATAAAATGCACATAAGTGGTTAGAGAAAGTCCAGGGGATAAGGTGCTTGCTTGCCTTGAATTTGGCTGACCTGGGTTCAATCCCCAGTACCACATACAATCCCTTGGGCCCATTAGTAGTGACCCCTGAGTACAAAATTAGGAGTCACCCCTGAGCATTCTTGGGTGTGGTCCAAAAACAAAAAAAAGAAAAGACAAAAAGGCAAAACAAAAGAAAATACTTTATGGGGTATGAATCTCCTGCAAAACTGGTTTTCTGGTTTTCCCCTAAGGGGAAGCCCATGTTCTCTCTTCCTCTCTCTCATCCCTCAGTAAATTTCTCTAAATAAAATTTTTCTACTTAAAAAAACAAAACAAAACAAAACCTGGTTTCTTTTCCCCTAGATTCCTCTCAGGAATGAAGTCCACCTGTTATTTACCTGTGCTCAGGAAGGGGATCCTGTTGGTTTAGCTCCAAAATTTTTCTATTCCTCCAATTTCACTTTCTTCCCTGATGCCTCTACCTAAGTACAAACTATCCTCTCATCCTTCTCTTTAGTCTGATCCTAAGAGATCTCCTTCTTTTTCTCCTCTTGTATTATTTTCTGTCTTCCTTTAAAATTCTTGTCCACGTGCCCTCCAAGCTAAAGCTTTAAACGGAAATGAGAGCCTGTGCCTGCACTAATGCTTTAGGAGACCTTGTCCTCAGGTGGTCCATGTATGCTGCCTCTCTCTCATCTTCTTATTCCATAACCCAGGAAAACTGGACTTCCCCTTCCCTGTTACCAAACTCTGTGTTGTCTTTTGCCTCCAGACTTTGGCATACTGTTTTCTTTTCCTAGAGTTTTCTTTTGCCATTTCCCAGCCCAGGTGAATTCATTCGATCTTTGCTTAAAAGTTACTTCCTCCTCTGGGTTTCACAACCCCCTGGATTAGGTCAGCCTATTTCTGCAGTGTTGTTTGCATAACTCCCTCTCCTGTCCCAGGATGGGCTGCAATTTGATCTAGGTAATTTTCTAGCTAGTCTGTGGATTCTCTGAGGGCATGTTCCTCTTGGTCTTCTCTGCCCTGAAGCCATCTTGATGTGGACACAAGGCCCATAGCCACTAATCACCTCAATTTCATCTGCCCCCAAATTACTTGATTTAGGTCCACAGATTTCTGTAATAGGTGCCTGGCAGATTGTCACATGCATCTAGTAATCAGGTTTGTTTGTTTGAATTCAAGATTTCCCTCAATATAGAAAACAATAAGATGTAGAATGGTGCCAGATATTTATGACAAAGAAGTGCAAGTCTGTGAGGGGAACTTTCTCTGGTGGGAAGAGAAAGACATGGTTATACTAAGTATAGCATCTGATTATAGACCTGAGTTCTTTGTTCCATGGGCTTCTGAGTTCATCTTAAGGCTGAGTGATTAACAAAGCATGAATCATAGTGTGGCAGGAATGAATTATTGCTGAGATTAGTACCTGTCTGTGTAAGCTGATCCCCAGGCCCTATAATAACTTTCTTTTCTGAAAAGAGGCCCAGGGGCAAGGCAAGAATCTGTTGACCCTGCTTCATGATTTTGTTCAGGAGTCTGAAATAACTTTTCCTTTGAGTATGCTTATATTTATTTACAAGTGGGCTTACAAACTACATAAAGTCTTGACCAAAGTCCTAAACAGAGGAACTATATACTCTAATGAAAGTGACGCTTTCAAAATTAATGAAAATAGTTGGTTAAATTTCAATAAAAATTGAGGCGAAGATTAACTTTGAAATTTGATGTGGAAAATGAATAAGTGAAACGTATCAAGAAATTTTTGGAAAGAACAGAAATAAAAAGGCATGCACCATCCAGTTTAAATGCAAGGTTATATTAATTTAAACAGTGATATCAATAGGGAGGTAGATCAGGAAGACTTTGTACAAGTTTCTAACTAGATAGAGTGGGATTTCAACTTAGAAAAGGTAAAAATGCAATGGCTTAGCTTTAAGAGATTACAAAAAATGTAATCCCCTACTCTATAACAGATGTAAAAACACCGCCTGTAGGACTGTAGCACTGTCCTCCCGTTGGTCATCAATTTGCTCAAGCGGGCACCAGTAATGTCTCCACTGTGAGACTTGTTACTGTTTTTGGCATATCGTATTCTGTATTTGTCATGGAGAGCTTGCCAGGCTCTGCTGTGCAGGCGATACTCTCCGTAGCTTGCTGGGCTCTCCGAGAGCAATGGAAGAATCAAACCCAGGTTGGCCACATGCAAGGCAAATGCCCTACCCGCTGTGCTATCGCACACCGCTTAGGTAAACTATATATATATATATAAAAGAATTAGAAATAGGTAGAAGTGAAGTAAATACACAGAAAGTCAGGCCAGAGACATAGTACAGTGTGTAGGGCATTTGCGTTGCATGCGGCCAACCAGAGTTCAATCCCTGACACCTCATATGGTTCCCCAAGAACCTCTAGGAATAATCCTTGAGCACAGAACCAGGAGTAAGCCCTGAGCACCACCAGGTAGGCTCCAAAACAACAACAAAAATACACAGGAAGTAGATAGGTTTTCCAAGAAAAATCTCACAGAAGGTAATTAAAGAACAAAGAACTATAATAATGTTCACTGTAGCACCCATTATAATAAGAACACTATAAAATAGTGAGGTACTATAAAGTCAACTAAGTTTGAAAAAGAGCATATTTTTGTTGGATATTATTGGACATTTTATCATGTTATTGGATATTATTGGATATTATACTGTTCATAATCCTATTGAGTGTTGTATACTGACAAATATTAAGTCTTGGCACATAGTTCAATAAGCCGGAGCACATGCATGGCACACATAAGGCCCAGGTTCAATCCCTGGCACTGCATTGTCCCCTGAGAACACAACCAGGAGTAGCCCCTGAGCACTGCTAGATGTGGTCCAACAACCAGAAAAAAAAAATGTGAATATATATTAAGAAATATATTTTCTCTTTTTCCTTCCTGGAACTCTGAGTACTCTCTTCTTTGGTTGCTAAGCAGGTAAGATGATTCTATGAATGATCTAATGTTTTGTTTATAAAAATATATGAATTCTAAATATATGTAAGAAACACATTAAACCAAATGAGACAAGAAAAAACTGTCCTGCTAGGCCATAAACTTTTGGATTTTAGAGGAAACTTGGGCTGAAAGCACTCTAA